CTGGTGGGATGTGCTTGGCTGGCAGGCAGTGAGGGACGAGGTGCCTCCGGAGGCCAGTGGGTGCCTGGCGGCTCGCACCTGGGCTTTGGCTTCCACAAGGGCGGTCTTTTCCTGATCTGTGCTTCCATCAGGGCCAAGTCCTTCTGGAACTGACATCTGAAACTCGGGGTGCCTATGAGGGCTCCTCCACTTTGGTAGCTCCAAACTACCTTCATACCTGAGGCCCACAGCACCGCAGGACCTCCCCTGGCGTCTGTCTCCAGGATCTCGGCTCCCTGAGGCCTCGTACAGACTCCCACGCATGTCCTGTCCAGATCTGGGGATGACGGCGAGGAAGGTGTTGGCCACAGCCTAGTCCTCCGTGTTCCTCCAGGACCTCGTGGTCCCAAAGGCCACCACTTACACCTAGCTCTCCTGCCTGGGCGCGCCCGGGCCGGCAGCTCTCCCTGTGTCCACGGCAGACGTGTCCTGCACAATGATGCACGCGTGCACAGGCCCCGTGCATCCACGCACCCTCCCCTGTGCTGCCTGTGAAGCGCTGCTCCCACCCCTGCCCTCTCCCCTCCCACGCGCCCCCTCCTCTCCTAGGTCGTGGGTGAGAAGCAAGCTCTGGGGGAGCGGCTGGCGCACAGCCTGCAGGCCCAGGAGACCCAGGAGGCTGCGCTGCGGCGAGCCCTGCTGGAGAAGGACGCACTGTCTGAGGAGCGGGCCCGGCTGCTGGCCCAGCGAGAGGCCCTGGAGCGGCAGGGGCAGCTCGCAGCCCAGGAGGCGGCTGAGCTCAGGTACTCGGCCTTGCCGGGCGGGGCTTGCGCTGCGAGGCCTGGCCCCCGAGAGCCACAACCCTGTGGGCACCCTCCTCGGGCCCTCCGTGGAAGCTGGGGTACGGGCTGTCTGCAGGAACATGCCCTCCCTCTCTGTGCATGCAGAGATGTCCGTCTCGCTCCTCCAGCTCCGAGCGGCCTTGCTCAGGAAGAGGGCCACGTGCCCGCGGTCTGGCCCTGCCTTTGTCTCACCCATGTGTGAGTGCCCGGGAGCAGGGTACATCTGACTCTGCCACCCCGCGGGGCTCACCCGTGTCCTGGGTCTCGCCCACCCGCCGGGAACATCGCAGTGCAGGGCCCATAGGTCCCAGAGGTTCAGCATGGAGGTGGCGTCCTGCCGGATCCGGGCTCGCTCCGCAGGCCTCGCCCTCCCCTGTGTCAGGGTCACCATGTGACTCACCTGGTGTTTGACGTCCCCCTGCTCCACAGGGCCGAGAGGGACTCTCTGGAGAGCAGCCTCTGTGAGGCGGGCCGGCAGGTGGCGCGGCTGCAGGTGGAGCAGCAGCGGCTGGAGGGCGAGGCCCGGAGTGCACAGCAGGCTCGTCGGGCCCTGCAAGGTGTGTCGCCCCGTTAGCGTGGAGGGGTCCTGAGTGAGCTCAGTCCCTGGTTTGGTTGGCCCTGAAGTGGGGGACGCAGGCCTGGCTGAGGCATGCCACCTGTCAGCCGTGAGCAGCAGGGCACCCCATTCACCCCCAGCACGGTCCGGCTCAGGCCAAGTCGCGTGCTCCTGTGCTCCCCAGTTGTGGGCACGGGCAGAGCGGGCGGGGGGCCAGCCCAGACATGCCGTCCCTCGGCCCTCACAGTGGAAATGGAGCAGCAGCGAAGCGCCTGGGAGGCCCGGGAGGGGCAGCTGCGCCGGGACGCAGAGCGGCAGGAGCGGGACGTGCGGCTGGCGCTGGAGGGCCAGGTGCAGGCCCACCGCGAGGACCTGGCGCGGCTCCGGAGTGAGAAGGTCCGCTCCCAGGGGCACCGGGCCGCAGAGAACAGCAGGGCCCTGGGGAGGCAGCGGGGCCCCGGGCTCACTGAGGTGCGTGTGTGGTGGCCTCTCTCTCAGAAGAGGGCTGACCTGGTGAGGCCGACCTGCTGCAGCCCACGGTCGGGGCTGGCGGGCTGGTGCCCATGCGAGCTGCCCTGGGTCAGGAGCTCCTAGAGGCCTCGAGTCACCTGCCCCTGCAGCCGCATGTCAGCAACCCATGGACTGTTGGGTACCCCGGGGGTGGGTGCTGGGACCTCAGGGACCCTGCTACAGTCTTGGGACCCCCGAGCAGACAAGGGGTATGCAGCTGGCAGGACTGGCACCCCGCAACCCTTCTGCCCTCATCCCATGAGCTGGGTCCCACTCAGGACAGAGCGCGCCTGCCGGCCTCACACCTCCGGCCTCACAGCCTGCCCTTTGCCTTGGCCCAGGAGACCCTGATTCTGTCCCTAGTGGAGGAGAGAGAGGTGGCCGCATGCCGGCTGGAGCAGGAGCAGGAGCTGGGGGCACACAGCGCAGCTGAGAGGGCGGCTCTGCGGCAGGAACTCCAGAGCCTGCGGCAAGAGCGGGCCGAGAGC